GCGTACATGAAAGGAGCTAATCAACCTAAACTACTAGATCTTGTTCGGGTCAGTCCCTAAACTACTAGATCTTGTTCGGGTCAGTCCCTAAACTACTAGATCATGTTCGGGTCAGTCCCTAAACTACTAGATCTTGTTCGGGTCAGTCCCTAAACTACTAGATCTTGTTCGGGTCAGTCCCTAAACTACTAGATCTTGTTCGGGTCAGTCCCTAAACTACTAGATCTTGTTCGGGTCAGTCCCTAAACTACTAGATCTTGTTCGGGTCAGTCCCTAAACTACTAGATCTTGTTCGGGTCAGTCCCTAAACTATTAGATCTTGTTCGGGTCAGTCCCACAGCCTAGCAGTCAGCACATGTATTTTCTAATTACTGAGTCCGATGTAATTTTTGATGGACTGAAAAACAAATTCCGACGAGAAACTTCATTATAATTATATAATTTAGAAGTTGAACTCAATGAACCAGCTTCACAAAAAACTTATTATTATTGTTGTAATGCAATTTATTCACCTATCTTATCTCTCAGCGATGTTCCAAAGACCAAAAAGAGAATAAGAAAATCGTGAACATATTCGAGGACCCTACTCCAGAAGAGGTAACAATGATGTTAATGATATAGTAATAGTTATGATGTAAATTATGATAATAATAAAATTGTGTACTGCAATATCTAGTTTCAGATAAGATTTTCGATAAAACACTATTTTAACATCATTTTATCAAATTGAAATAATGTCTTTTTCAATAATGCCGAGCAAACTGTAAAAATTTTCTGTGTTGATTCAGTCAGACACTTTATAGCTCCTTGATATAGTACCCGATACTCTTCAAATGTCCTCATAGATGTTACTCTCGCAGTCATCTTCGTTTATGTTGCTGTCACTTTTTTCCTCGTGATCACAATCATTTAATTCGAAATCTATATCTTCTTGGTCAATGTCGAATGACAGTGACTCTACAGATTCCACTGCATGTCGTTCCACAAAATGAGTCTCAATACTACCAAGCTCTTGGTCTGAAACTAAATGCAGCTCTTCTAGATAATTACTATTTCCAGTGCCTGCTGTTTGGTTGATCCTTGTCTTGATTTTGCGTGAAATCGCTGTTATTCTCCCAGTTATAAGCACAGTGATTATACACACCAGGAACAGTATACTGCTTAAAACAATAACAGCTATTTCCAAAGGCTCCACAACATAAGATAAACTTTCCCTACTCGCAACTTTATAACACAAACCCTGGTCCACCTGAAACTCATCAGGGCACTCAAGACAGTGTACCCCATCTCCGTACAGATGTGCAGGACACTGGATGCAGGTGTGATTCTCCCAGTACTGGCCTAGTGTGCATCTGTAACAGTACTTAGACCCCGGAGCTGCTGCCTTGAAGTGAGGACAACGCTTACAGTGGAGGGATCCAGTCTTGCTGAAGTGGTTCTCAGGACACAACTCACAGTAGGAGGGGTTGAGGAGTTTGTGTCCTGCTGCACAGCTGCATCTCTCTGATCCGGGCTTTGAGCTGGAGCTTTTTAGGACACTTTCTACACTGAGTCTGGTTTGTTTGTTCGTTGTAGTGGTTAAGGGGACATCCAACACAGTTACTGTGAGTGAAGTTCCAGTACATTCCCACTGGACACTCACAGTAAGACTGATTGAGAGCAGAGGTGTAGTTCCTAGGACATGGTGAACAACTCGTGCTTCCTTGATAACTGTAACTGTTAACCTCACACTGCTGACACCTCTCAGTACTGTTCATGTAGAGACCACCTTTACAGCTACATCGCTCAGCACCTGGGTGGGAGGAGGAGCTTGGTGGGCAGGGGGAACAGTGGGTGGTGTTGCCTGGACTGTAGGTGTTATCAGGACATGTCTGGCAGTATCCTTTGGAGAAGTGGAGTCCTGGTGTACAGTCACAGAAAGTGGAACCAAGTGCTGAGGTGGAGTCTGGTGGACACTTCCAGCATTCTCCTTCACCTGAAGGAATGTAATTTAGTCAAATTGATTTGGAGAGATTTACAAAACCAACTTCTTCACTTCTTGGTGCTGTTCAAAATAGCGAGTAAATAAGATAGTAAATAGACTACGATTGTTAGTTTCGGGTACCTTCCGCATTAATAGTTTCGAAGAATCCTCTAAAGCAGTCACACGCAGCTGCGCCATCACTTGATAAACTATTCTCGGGACATTCTGAGCATTCCGTAGAGTTAAATCTACTGTAAGTGTTAGCAGGACAAACTAGACAGGCTCCCGCTTCACTACTCCAGTGTCTTCCGGCTGAACAGTCACATTTTAATGAGTTTGGTTCCGATGTTGAATTCTCCGGACATCTTATGCAGCTTGCATTCTTTATGTAATAATCTTTAGCACAACCTAGTCACAGATGTTAGACTGTCATAGTGATGAGCAATCTTAAATACTGCTAAACGTTAAACATCTTTTGTAATAAGCCAACCGGATTTGAGCTATAAATATTGCTTACCTGTGCAGTTCAGAAAAACATCTTCCCCGTGTCCACAGTTATGTGATAATTTGCATGTGCAATTCCCAAATCTCTGATTCCCATCTACGCACTTTATGTCATCTATTACAATATCATAAGAACTCTGCAAAGTATTCCATAAATTTGAATTTTGCCAGAACTTGAAACCAATGTTACCCATCTCCTTACAAATGACAGTTGCTGCAATATCATCGAAGTGATCGTCACACACTGTGCCAACCTGAAAAAATAATCAGTCAGAATAAATATTAAATATAAAGACATCATTATAAATGCAGGCTCAGAGGGCTTTAAATTTCGAGAAATATTATCAAAAGGCATGGCATGGGTACAAGACGACATATAAACAGGAATTCATTTGCCACTGCTCATGCTGTTACTAACCGTGGCCGTTGTTATAGATGAAGAAGTGTTAGTGTTTTGCGCTATTAGTAAGCCAGATTCGATTGATTTTTCTCCGTCTTGGTTTACGAGGTAAAATTGCCAGCCATTTGTAATCGATAAAATGACTGCACTGCAAAAGTAACAATAATAAAGCAACATATTTAGCAGTGAAAATTCTTGAGCAGATACCTAATGATAAAACTTAAGACTGGATACAATACAATAAGACTGTGTGGGTCTTCATGTTTAGTTCTGGCTTATAAAGGAGCTTGCCAGTCAAAATCAGAGAAGAAATCATGAGCACTGAGCAGTCACGTTTTATATTTATGTTGGGAATCCCTGCCATCATCATGAGTGCTGAAAGCTCCGTTGTGCCAACGTGATACTTCTATTTTGTGTAGATATTGATTTGACTGGAAAATGTCGTAATATAATAATATATATAAGTATGGTATAATTATATATAATAAATAAATATATTGCATTGTTAGATCACGCAGTTAAAAGAGCAGCAGTAAAACTAAAGCAATGAAACTAATATAAAGAAATAAAACTGAGGTAAAGATAAAGTAAAATGAGTGTATTTTCATATTATCTCAATGTGACAGAGACATTCCATTACAGGAAGCGTTAGCTCGGAGCATGTCTCTGGCCTCAAACTCACAGAAATCAGCTACAGAGCTATCTGACTTCACTTTGGCTCTTATAAAACCTGACGCTGTGAGAGCTGGCTTTGTGGAGGATATTATAAACGAACTCAATGAAAACGGTATGTTAACATGTTGAACTTAACCAATCAATACAGTCCAAATTTTTTCCATTCACACTCTTTTGTAAAAAGACAATATTAGTGAAAGGTTACGAATGAACGTTTTTGCAGAAAAACGTGGATTTTGGAGATAGCGGTAGGTGAGTCTGATCATGTTGTCATTCCTTTCGTTCGTTAGTTACCATGACAACTACTCAACTATACGCGCGCATGGCGCACAAGGATTGCTTGAGGAGATGTGATGTATATTATAGCCTGTAGCCAGTGTATGCGCGGCGCGAGTGTATTTTAATGTATTAGTCAATAAGCCCAATTTGTATGTGACATGCGTAGTATACGTATAGTGTACTTATGTGTACAATTATAAAACATGAGTAAAGTTCACTTTTTGCTTACAATTTCTTAAATTACAGATACAAATTAAGTTAGATACGGCAATTGAATTGATTATTGAATCACAAGTGTTTCCCTATTTAAAACATAATGTTCATAATATTATGAAGTGAGCTGATTAGAGCTTGCAGTTGAAGTGAATGGAAATCTAGCGTTCGCCACAACGAAACAACGGGCGCAATTCTTGTTTCAGTGGAAGTTACTAGCTGAAGTAGCTTTGATACGTCCGCATAGAACCTGTAAGACTGGCCTCCAGCTCGCCATTTTTGATATGCAAATAGTGGGAGTTGCAGTACTTGTCACAGAGCTGAGTAGCTTGATACGTGTACTGATATTGGATACTAGTGACATCTAAGACGAGAAGTACGGACTAGTCGTAATTTTCAATTCGAAGGTGTCATACGTATTACGTACTTATTACTTTTATATGTTTATTGAAAAAAACAACGTGCAGGAGAAATATTTCGATGCACAGATTCGCTTCAGAAGGCGATAGGAAGTATTCTAGAAGGCCATAAAAGGCTAAAGAGTTGTAAGCTCTTATTTCTATATTCTAACAGTCGGCTACCTTGGCCGAGTGTTGAAAATGTAAATACGAGTCCTGTTTGAAAATAGGAATACGACTGTTTGAAAATAGAAGTACGAGCTTTAAGTTGACTTTGATTTTTATCCTGATTGTTTAATAGTAACTGAATATTTTTAAATATTTATAGCGAGGTTTGATTTTTGAGGTGAATTATAACAAACCGCTTGTAGTATAAGCAGCTCTGCAGAGTAACACGAATATAGGACAGTGTTTACTCTTTGTTTGTTGGTCCGTGTTATAACGAGGTTCCACTGTCAAGACAAACAAAAACATGTTTTGGGAGTGCATGTCTCTGATGTTTCTAATATAATTTTTTGAATTGGTTGTAACTTTTTTCTCCCATTTTGAAATTGAATACGTCGTGAAATGATAAAATAAAGATATTTTTTTCAAGCATACAAAAAATTTTTTGGTACAGTACTGTTAACACAAGGCTACAAGGGATTTGAAAAAAGTTTCCCTATATGAATTAATGAATTATCTGAAACTGATGTTTTAGACAAACACAACACCACCTTGATTGACTATTTTTTTTGATTTTTCAGTCTATACAATTGCCAAAACAGGTGTCTGATTCATCAAGTGGTACTAAGTTTTTAAGTGTCATAATCATAAAATCCCAAACAAATTGTCCCACTTAAACTGAGAAAAATAGCCCTGATTAGCGAGCTCATTCCACAGTTCAACTAAGCTGCAGTGGTCTGGAAACATTCAATGTATCTTGCGAGACTATTCGTCATCTTCACACCCTTCCATGACCCTGTTGATTGAATACCAATTAAACAAACAATAAAAATTGGCATTAATTACTTGTGATAACTGTTCATGTTTGACAGCTAACACTGTTACGTCACTGCCTTATAACGGTAGGAATTAAAAGTACGACTTGGAACGATTCTTACTTAGATACTTTAAGCTGTCATTATCTCCAGCCTCCTTCAATGTCTTCAGCAAATTTCGAGTGATCTTCTTCCCAGTGACGTCACCTGAATAATGAACATTGAACATTGTTTGATTGTATTGTCAAATTGTCAGTGTTTCTGTAGGTGTTCAGTTTTGCTATTGCAGTATGATATGCCATGAAGTTGTTCAATAATTATTCATATTCATATAAAATATACATATTGATAAACGCAAACGTATCTATTTCAGATGAACCCCGCGAAGCCCATGGTAACCAGTCACACTTGCAAGTGCAAGTTCCCTGAATATTTGAACAGCAAAAACCACAGTTTAAAGCCGTATATTAACGTATATTTATGAATATTTACGTATATTTACGTATATTTACGTATATTTACGTATATTAACGTATATTTACGTATATTATTATTTACGTATATTTACGTACTTGGTACCCTCCAGGTGCTATCACTCGGACATGTAGATTGCTCCAGCTGTTCTATGAGCTTTTCCATTTCTTCTTGGACTTCCTTCAGCTCGTCTCTCACTTTGTCTTCTTCGCAGTGCGGCACTGTGGCAGTAAGAAACTAATTACAACACTATATAACATCCGTCAAATTTTAAATCTTTTAAACAAAAAATCGCACTGGATTTTTATTTAATCGGAGCTGCGGTTGTTTTAAAAGCTTGAAAGTAACGCACCTGCTTCACACTTTGGTTGTTTTTTAAACTCGAAATCAGTACCACCTTTGCACGTTATCTTCGAGTCCCCTGTGAAATTGAAATTAGTACCCCAACAGTTCACTGTCATCACCTCTCCTAGTGGTACAGGAAAGCTGGAAGGGTAGGTAGTCACATGTTCCCACTGTACTGGTAGTCCCGAGCACTGTTTGAGTTTCTCTTTCTCTTTCTCTTCAGCAGTACAACCTTTGAGCAGAGGATCCAGGTTCACTTCTTCGAATTCCAATTGGTCACCTTTCTGACCAAAATCTATGGTGAAGGCAACTACGGGAATGTCATCGACATTGTCGGGTGCCTTTTGTACGATGTTACCATCTTCTGTGAAGTCCACCTCTTGCGGATTTTGTATTCCCTGATCAACAAGCCACGGGTCTTGGAACTTCCCATAGTGATTAACATGAGCAGAGTACTCAACCTCTTGAGTCCCGTATCCGGAATTGCCCAGTCCAATGGTCTCGCTCTCCCAAGATTTTTCCAGGTCCGCCCAGAGTTTAATGTCGAGGACAATACCGTCACAGATTGGAGTGATTTCTTCGTAGTCTGTTGGCCAGCCAGCTCCGGAGTTTCCCCACGGGTAGGTGGAGCAATCACCGCCTTTTGTAGGACAAGCACCCCCATTGAGACCGTACTTCTGTCGAGTGGGGTGGTTGTGACCGAATATCGCCATTCCGTAAATCTGAAGATGATAAGTAGTCATTATTGAATATTACTGGGCGGCGCTCAGCCTGTCATTCCGCCAAATATCCATTCGGAATATGATTATGAACATAAATATAATAGCCTCGGGTCCCCAGGTAATCTTGAATATAACGTATAAGTTTTTAAGATCGCATTATAATTAACAAATGATTGCGAAATAGCTTTGTTACATCGGCACGGACTTTGTCAAACCTTTTCCGCGCCTCCTCCGTCTTTAACGTACACAGGCGGAGCAAAGTTAGGTTCAGTATTCAAAATATCAGCTTCCTTGAATTGATCGTATATCCCATCATAATACCTTCCAGCTGGACGCACGTAGGAATAGTCAGCTGGATTAACCTTGGAATCCATCACCATTCCTATAATGAGATAGGATTCGGGGTAATTGTGGTATCCTCTTTCAAGGATATAGAATTCTGTGTCTATTCTGGAATCATCTATGCGTTTATAGTGAACGGTTTGCGCGCGGCTTTTCAGCTCTTCCAACGTTTTCTGCATCAAGTCTGTTTGAGGATTTCCTTGACCGACATTGGTATAAACTCCTCCACCGCCAAACATTTCCATTCGGAGGATAGCGTTGAAGTTTTCGTTAACGTCCATTCCAGCTCGTTTTCCTAAAGGACCCACTCTGTTGGCATTCTTTTGAGCTTTGACATACTTCCAAACGTTACCCATGTGAGGGTAATCGGCACCAGACAACTGAAATTAAATTGTTACCAGTAAATCAGTACAAGATTCAAATTTGTTTGTAGCTATGTCTTATGTTAGACCTTTAGACAGACATAGTTTGAATTAACTTTTTAACCAGATGTAGCTAGTCCACACTTTAGCCCCATAATATGAAAGCTCTGTTTCACTTGAAGATTAAAAACTCCAGTATAATCTTATAATATTCAGAAGTCACCATTAAACCTTAGAACTACAAATAATTTTTTACAGAATGAAGTTTAGACAAATAAATAAAACGTTATTCAAAAAGTACATCCTTGGAAGACTTTTGAAACACGCTGTATTACCCCGCAATAGTACCAGGGTAAGTCCATCACAGGATGGTCTTTGTATTTTCCTCCGAACTTGGGATGGTAAATTGTCAGATCTAGCCAGTTGAGGAATCCGTCCTTAGAAATTTCTTCACCGAAGCTGTGTTTATGATCTCTGTTCTCGCTTCCATCCTGGTGAGTGTAATGCTTCACAAGGATGTTGTTTAGTTCTTCGTCGTCTCCATCCAGAGCATTATCTTTATCCTCTTGCTTTATCCCCTCCTCTTCCTGTGTTCGGTAAACTCTGATGAATCCAGCACCTTGAATTCTCCACATGCCATGTTTACCTTCCCCAATCAGCACCGCTGTCTGCTCATGGACTGTCAAGTGACGGTACGTGCCGTGTGTTCCCATGAATCCGGAAGCGGAAGGGAGGTGCGTTATGTTGGAGTTGGTGGTGTAGTAATCTGGATCATCCTCCTCTTTTCCGTGCTGAGTGTTACAGGCTCCAGAATGTTGAAACATTTCCGTCATTGTGGTGGAAGCTGTTACTGGGGTAAGGCTCACCATCACCTGCATCAGTGTGGTGACCAGGATAAATGCCATCTACCTGCGGAACTATTGGACAAATTTAGTCTCAGTGGTCTCAGTGGTTAACCAGCTATTTGAGCAGCTTTTATACACTCAAACAGACGATCATATGACGTATTTTTGGAAGATATCGGCAAAATATTTTAAACGCTATATTAATCTAGGGCTGTAATCACCCAACCAATCTTTAAATTGTTCAACAAACGTTCCTTTCGATGAGCAATTCATGTCAGATTTAAGAAAATTACGCTATTGCGGGATGGCCTTAACGTTGGAATCCCAAGAATCCCAAGTAAAGTCAAATTGCCATATACGGCAACATATCAAATTTTGTTAAGGTTGTAAAATTCGAATGATTAACACGAATACAATACACAAATCTCCCCTAAATCTAAAGAAAGGTGCTTTCTGTGACCATTGATTGTTTTGGCTATAAACATAGGCCGCCAATGTTTATACTTTTGTAGTCGAAACAAACAAGTTTGTCGCCCTTGATAGTTTAACTGATAAACATTAAAGAATGTTATGTCTTACGAAGGTTATAGAAGAATAAGAGATCAGTGTACAGAGATCAGTGTAAAGATATCAGTGTAAATGGTTACGCCATGACCATCTTGTTAAAAATTAAAGTCGTTCAATTTTAATGTTTCACTGCACTGATTGGCTGATTACTTAGTTGCTCACTGCAATCCTAAAATGTCTCATCTTGAAGAGTTGTTTTCAATCATTTAATCTCAAATATCACATAACCTATTTCTAAAGTACATTATTTAATTACATTGCTAATTACACAATAATAATATGTCTCTTAATCACATAATTAACAGGTCTGATAGTAATATCGCAACAAGAACACACCATGACAGCAGAAGAGGTACATAAGTTCTACTCCCACATCTCCACCGAACCCTACTTCCTAAACCTGGTGGACTACATGACATCTGGTCCGACTGTGGCTCTGGTCCTGGCTAAAGTCAATCCTTGTTAGTGAGACATCTTCTGATCAAGTGTAGTACATCACAGCAGTGATGGTTCACACAACATTTGTATGCTAGTCTGGAGGTGTTATGGCCATGGTTCTTGTGAAACGCAGTAGTGAATAGTGAAAGTTGATTACTGATTCATTTACCTGTATTTATACTAAACTTGAAAACGTTAATGAATATTTTCAGCTGAGCGGCCTGTTTGTGAAATACTCAAAGAGCTTCGTGGACCAAAAGACCTTGCTTGTGCAAAACAAGAGAAGCCTGCGTCTTTAAGAGCAAAGTTCGGAGTGCAGTCTGAGTCGGGGGTGGAAAACGCTTTTCACTCCAGTGACACCTCGGTTAGTTGATTCAATGGATTGTTATAAGATTACTGTAGCTCACGAGACATGAAAAGTTTAAAATTGTCAAGTAAGTGCCATATATTTATATACTCATGTTAATGTTATAGAACACAAATATAGAACACATGAACAATTTTATATATGCGAAAAATTAATTTCGTGAAAGCTGTTTTGAAGACTTTTTAGTCTTTCCATGTGGAGTGGGGGATTACTAGTGTTAAATTTCATTACATAATAACCTTCTCTACCCATCTTTACCTATATCCTTCGTGTAGTGTTGGAAAAGTGATATATATCGATTAATTTCAATAATACTACAGGGTGGGCCAAAAGTCAGTACCCATACGTTGGCCTTAATAGCTCCGCCGTGTTTTATATTTGAGAGCTGTTGCTTTGCAGATGGCATACTGTACTTACTGGTTCGAGGATTCCGTCGTCAACATTTGAAAATTCGAATATTTTAGACCACGCCCATTCAATATTAAAACACCTATATTGTTTTCTCTGAACATGCTGAAAGCCTAATTTTTTAAGAGACGGTAGATTATCAAATGTTGCATATGATCTGAAAACATGAGGCAAAACGGATTAGAAATGACGAAGTTATCAAGCATTTTCTGTATCTCGTTAACAATATTGACTGGGTGATTATGTGACACCGTGACACGACACCTTAATTGGGCACCCTTAACAATTCCCATAATGTTTAACGGGGTAGTTAACGGGGGCACCTTATCACGTGATTAGGTAAACCAATCACCTGATCACACGTAATGAATAAACTCGTTATGCTTCATATCTCGGTCATCTGAGAAGCTACAGTTCTAATTCTTTCAGGACAAACGTAATTCAAATGGACAAACACAATTCAATATCATTTAGCTTGATCCGACTATCCAAACTATCAAATAAATGTGAAAATGAACCTCAATTTGAAAAAAATGAACGTGAATATTTTTCAAGTTGACAAATTCCTCGAACCAGTGGTGGTACTAAGTCATACCATAAAGAAGTATTTAAATTGGGCACTCAGTGACTGAGCTATAAAGGCCAACGTATGGGTACTGACTTTTGGCCCACCCTGTACTATTAGTAGCCTAAAGATTGGAATCTCTTTGTTAACGAAGACAAAACTGATTTCACTCATGTGTACTTAGCTGAAAAGGGAGCTAAAGACGATCAGGGTAAGTCAATTGCAGGGAACGAGCTCTGGAGAAAGAGTATCACGCTTGGCTCCATGCTTTGTAGTAAGGAGGACATCTCTAGAAGGATATGTCTGGGATATGCCGCGTTTAACAAATACAAGAAAGCTTGGAACCATAAGATCCCTCTGAGCAAGAGGCTTCTGTTGTATGAGGCTCTGGTAGTATCCGTTTTAATGTACAATTCATCTTGCTGGGCTGCCCCTAAATCAGTATTGGAAAAACTAGATATTGCTCACAGACGTCATCTGCGATCAATTTTGAATTACAAATACCCTCACATCATTTCCAATAAGAACTTGTATAAACGCTGCAATAGCGAACCATTGTCAGCTAAAGTGGCTCGTAGTCGGTGGAGGATGCTCGGACATGTACTGCGTGGGCCTACAGATGGTCCAGCCTATTCGTCGCTTGTTTTTGCTGTTAACACCTTACAGCTTCAAGGGCGGCGTGGAAGACCGCAGTCAAACCTTTTCTCACTGATTCTACACGACCTTAGTGTTCGAAAATTATCGTCAAATAATTTATGTGATTTAAACAATTTTACTTTAATCGCTCAGAATAGAGTTAAATGGAGAAGTATGCAAATTGCATGACTTTTGTTTGAGAAAGATTAGGGGACAGAAATGTTTACTTTGTTTACTATCTGTTTCTTAGAGCTTTTGTTTATATTAGTAGCCTGTTTCGCTCTTCCTGTGCTAGTGCATGATTTCCCATATTTTCTGTAACTTGTCAAAACTTTTGTGAAGGTTAGAGTTCGATAAAGTGTTAGTGGCATGGGCGGGTCATAGTTTATTTAGTTATCAGAAATTAAGATTTCGCTGGACATGAAATTTGAAAACTTTGTAAGACGTCATGCCACTGGTTGAGGTGAGTCGATTGCAGCACGTGAGAATGCTACTGCATATCTCAAGTTCCTATCGCATACTTTAACTCATTTGTTTGCCCAAAAAATGGTTATGATGCCATCCGTTCGACGTAAGAGCGATGGTTTTAAACTGTCTCTAATCGACTTGGTTGGTGAAATAATTCTATCTTAGATTTGACCAGTGATGACTGATCAAGATCACAGCTCCGTCAGAGTTTAAGACAATAGCTCCCCAATATCATTATTAACTAGCCACGTTACAAGTCCTTACAATGCAATATTAATTGTTCAGTCTGGTGACTAGAACGAGTTAGTCTTAACTTAGAAACTGTAGACTCACTAGAGACACCGTCTTTTTTCTCATTAGTTTGAGGATTCCAGATAATCGATCTGTCTTATTAACCTCGCTAATTACAAACCCGTGGCCATAGCAAATTTCGAGCTATTTTTTTGGGGAATTAATTTCCAAACTTGTTTAAATACATCCTTAGCCACGAGGATAATTGCTGGCATCAGATCAATTTAAACTTATATTGCAATATCAGATCTTGGTTTACACTCCCCTGTAACCTGGCCTGGAAACTACTTTTGTGGGGGTGTGGCTAAATTTTGTTCACGTTTCATGCTACCCTGGCCCTGATCATTATTACTACTACTACTACTACTATATAAGATTTGGACTCGAGGGTTCCCCCTTGTAATGCGATCTCGGAAGGCAGGCCTCCCCTTTGCAGTGCGAAGGACTAGAACGACTCACTAGAGACACCGTCTTTTTTCGCATTAGCTTCAGGGTTCCAGATAATCGACCTGTCTTATTAACCTCGCCAATTACATTCACGTGGCCATAGCAAATTTCGAGCTATTTCTTTGGGGAATTAATTTTCAAACTTTTTATACATCCTTAGCCATGAGGATTGCTGGCATCAGATCAATTTTAACTTATATTGCAATACCAGATCTTGGTTTACAATTATAACCACTCCCCCGTACCCTGGCCTGTTGAGCAATCTCCATTTTAGCAGAGTTTATTTCGCGTCTCTGTAACTAAGTTTTCTCAGAAAATAAGCTTTCTCAGTGATTATCAGCCGTCTTGTTGCAGTGTTTCTTAATTATTTTTAATGATAACACTGCTGAAAATTTCTGTTCCTCATTTAGGCGAGCACTATAAATTAATGAACAGCAACACTTCTACATCGCACGTTCACGTTATATTTAAAGTTATACTTAACTGTAGTACTCATCTATTTCATGATCATAAATATGATCATGAAATAGATGAGTACTACAGTTAAGTATAACTTTAAATATAACGTGAACGTGCGATGTAGAAGTGTTGCTTAATTTTTAATTTGAGATACTGTCAAATATTTGACAGTATCTCAAATTAAAAATTAAGTTCAAATATAGAAAATTGTAATGCAACCTGAAATAATAGGCGTGTTTGTTGTGAACTTAAATTATAACATTATTTAGATCTATTATTTTCCATAAAATCTCGTTTAATAAACTTAAAATTGAGTTAAACTCCGGGCTCCGGCTCTCTCTTCACTTTATTACTCTACTAGAAAACATAATCGAGTTCAATTTCAATGATGTGATTCTGTCATCACAAGTGCTTAACTTAAT